TTTTTCTTTCTTTTTTAACAAGATTTTTATGAGAGATTTTGTCGCATTTTCCACCATTTTAAAAAGAATGATGTACTTTTTGATTCATCGACTCAATGAATGCAGCTCGATATCCATTATGAAAAGATATCGACTCACGTAAGTTGAAAAATTATTAGTTTAAGTGATATTTTAAATTTATTTTTAACTGAAATTTATCATTCGAAAGACGAGAACAGTACCAATACAAGAATATTGCCCATGTCCTTCCTCGTCCTTCATTTGTTGATTATACAGAACTGAAGTCAAAATATCTCCTAAACGAAAAATTTCCTGACATACGTTATTATTTCTTTTTATAGAGAATATCAGAGTGCATAAATGACTGAAAAATTATGTAATTTCATTTAAGAAGATAAAGTTAACTCGTATGTCCATTATGCATGTAGCTACAAATAAACTAACTGCATTAAATTATTTCTCCTTCAAAAACCAAAACATGTTTAGTGACGAAACATTTCTTCAAACAACGAATAATTCTGGAAATAATTGCATTTATTTATTAAAGTGCCTTGCATATGCTCCAAATGATGTCACAGGTGGAGTTAATACAAAATTGACATATTAACTGCAAATTGCTATTGAATAACTATAACTGTGAGCAAGATTATGTTGAATTAGTGTGTCAGTCTTTCAGATTTTTGTTTTAAGCTTTCCAATATACATTAGTGACTATATTGCAACATAAATATCTGCAATTGTGTAGGATTCTAATCGATGGATTTAAGTTTAGTTCAAAATACAATTTATCCTTTCTGGCACCTAAAAAAACCATTACTTATCTGAAACAATCAGAATAATTATATTTTTATAATGTAAAATTAAATACAAAATATAAATTAGCATGCATGTATATAGGTAGTAAAATTATTTTGTAATCAAAATTTGTTACCTGATCGGTACTTGAAATTTACAGAAAACGCGATAAATTTATGGCTACTAATTTTCTAATTTCTGTACTACTCGAAGACGAAAAAGAGCAAATCGTATGTGACTCAAATAACTAAAACTTATTCGCAATATACAAAGACAAAGTATATTTAGAAGACAGATAATTAGAGAACACGTTTTGTACGAAATCAAAGAAATGGATAACCATAGCTGCTGCTACCAACATTTTTAAAGTGTCCAAATGTTTAACAAGTAGATAACAAGAATACCGACATATTTAAATTTAAAATTATATCTATAAAAAATAGTTCAGTTGAATTCAATTAAGTGGGAGCGTAGTTAATTAAAATGATTTTCTATAATATAGTCAAAACATTTCTGTACAGTTAAAATGACCAGGTGATTCATCCAAAAATAAATAAACTAATTATTTCTGATCTTCAAACTTGATTTCAACTCGATTGATGCAGTGTTTAGATGAGCGACTGTGAAAAATTATCCTTGGAATTCTATAAACAAAATATTAGAAAATCTAGGATTTCTGCAAACAATATTTTTTCGTGTAGTCTTTAGGATTTACTTCATTTGAACGCAATATTTTAGGCTATAAAGCCTATTACGTATTGTTGAGCAATCGTTACGCGTCTAAAGTCGTGGTAACTTGATGATTCTAAATATCATTATCATAAGGATTATTGAACAGAACGAGGAAATTATTTTCCAAAGAAAACGTAAGAAGAAATATTAAGCAAGATCCCTCATTACAAGAACTCAGCAAGTAAAGTAAATATAATTCACTAGAACTAATGGTTTTCGGTGATAGTAATCGAATGTGTAAAAAGACGTACGTAATTGAAAGATGATATCTTTAATCATGATTTTCACGTAATTAACTTTAGGTATAGTTTTATTCCGGTGCATCATTTCTAACACATTCAAATGCGTACGATGACATATAAATGCCTATGAAGTATCATCTTATAGTGGCAATAATAACGTATATCAATTGGTGCATCATGTATGGTCCGCTAACGTGCTATAATAGTTGCCATTATTTCTAAGTGGAATACATAAGCATTAGATAGGACCAACATAATTTGAATTGCTTGAAAAATATTTCATTTTTATTTTATCTATTTTGGATTCTCACGGAAATATTTCTTAAGGTGCTCAAATTTTCGAACTTAGGTACTCATATACCATAGAAATTTAATATTGCTGAATAATGGTTTCCTTGCATAATAAAAAGTAGCAATTTCTGTATTGATAATGATAAGTTATACCATTCCATAGTATGTCTAAAAAAAACCATATTAAGATTAATCGACGAGACGGAAATGGAATAAAACGTGATATTTGATATAATTTTACATTCTGTGGCATATCTCAGAATTTTTTACTTGTAAACGATGCTTCTGTTTAGGAATTTACTTGTTTGTGTAAGCTTGTGAGTTGTTCCACGCAATTGTTTTTCAAAGTTATTCGAAAAGATTGTGCCGATGGAATTTATTGCGTTTCGAAAAAGACACATAATGATGGTCAAGATATTTTTAAGGGGGGTGGGGTGCTGCCTCCAATTTACTTGTGCTTTCTTACTGGTATGAGAAAATCCGAAAGTGTATGTTGTACTCAAGAGTGAAAATTCGATGATCACGTCGAAATTTGCGACTCATTCAAAATTTCCGATGGAGTTAGGTTTCCCTACAATACTAAAATTACAAAAGACAGAGCGTGAAATAAGAGTACTAACCAAATATGTGATATCCAAATGTAACCTTTTGTTTCAAATTTTGATTCCTGATTTTGTTTCAAGATTTGATTTCCCGAAATCATTTCGAAATTTAAAGGAATCTGATCTGAATTTTAAAAAAATACCCACTACGATCTAATATTTTCGGGTTCTCTCACACCACCACTATTTGCGGTGTTGTTTATTCATATGAAAGTTACGATTCCAGTTCTCTACTCTCTCTAATTCTATTTCTATTTCTACTTTTACATACTGTGCATCTTTGCCTACTTCGTTCTTTACGTATATACAGGATAATCTGTATCAAGGAAATAAATGGCCAAACTCTGGTATTGTACTCTATTGCGATCAAAACACATAAAATAAACTATAAGTTGGAAAATCTTTCCATTCCGAAATTAAACCTTTAATCATGATTAAGTATTGTATTCAAAATTTATTCAAACGAATCGTAGAAATCCATTTTTTTTTCTAGCAATATGTTCTTCTTTTAAAAGACATTACAAAACTACTACATTTCCAATTTGATATATACTAATTTAATACATATTTAATATATATTTGTAGGGATATAATATAAATAATATTTATTTAATCAAAACTATAATAACAAAACAACACATAGTTAAACAAATTACATTAAAACAACACGAATTAACAACTCAAATAAATTCTTTAACACAATTGACACTTTTAAATAGTTCTCTTTCAAGACTCAAACGACTCTCAAGACTCTCACGACTCTGGTCTTTTTTTAGAAAGAAAAGCGCTCTATGCCTACGTTGGACTTCACATATCACATTCATATTTTATATGATCAACAAACAGGCCATCTGTTATATCTAAACATAATTAAAATTAGATTAATTATAATAACAAACAACTGTTCTTACAAATAAAAGTTCAAATTATGGTTGAAACTCAGCATTTAACAGTTATTCTATTGTACTTAATATTCGATACAAGCAAAAAATGTTTATTCGTCGAAAAGGAACAATTTTGAATATTTTAATCATATTATATCTATCATAATATATTGGTCATATTATGTATTTTAGTCTATCTTTAGTATTTCCTAGAGACAATAGAATACTAAATAATTAAAATAATTCACACCTCTTCCTTAAATACTTTTTACAAAGCGATTATTTATAATATGCAAATGATGTATAATAATCGAAAAATTACGTAATATTTAAATTATATGTATACAATTTATATATGTGTAATGTAAATATACATATATATGTTACATATAATAGTGAATTTATACAATATGTAATGATAAATATACTCTTTTAGGAGATGTAGCTTAAAGCTACAAATAAACAATAATAAATCCTATATAGAATGAATCTCATAAAAGAGTAATAAAGAGTAGAATCTCACAGAGTAATAAAGAATCAATTAACGATTAATTAACAGTTAAAAAAATTATCAAATAATTGAAAATCATTTTGCATACTTACGCAATATAAAAGAATTTCTGACTTTCGTCGAATATGCATTGTATTGTATGGTATGCATTAATAATAAACTGTGAAACACATATAATGATAACAAAGTTCATAATCATGGCTATGTCCATGGAACATCGTCTTGGAAGTCTAAGCAGGATATACCAGAAACGTGATACAAAACAGGTTGAGAATGCGAATCTAACGATTTCTGAAATGAAATAGTTTCAAGTTTTCATATTTTAAGTAAATATGACACTGCAGGTGAATTACTAAATAATTAAATTTTGTGTAGAGAGGTTTCTCTGATAGATATTCCATTATTTTTCAGAGACTACTCCATCTAATATTCAAAGATTTGTTATTATTTTATCATTTACATTTCATCAAGAAACTTGCAATTTTAATCGTTATAAATCTCAAATTTATCGTTGCTTTAAATCTCGAAAATCGTCAGATTTCTGTCACATTATTTATGTGATGTTTTCAGTACGGGACACTCTGTGATGATACTTACATTGAAAATCATCACTGCGTAATATATTGTTATTGCTAGAAAGGTTGTTAGGCAGGAGAATGAGAAATTGTGTTTCAGATACCTAATCCACCTTTGAGAGAGAATGAATTAATATAATATAAGCTTAAGAATATTCACATTTGAAATATTCAAGTTCAAATACAATAAATATTCGCAAAAATAAATAAAACTTTGCATAAGTATTGGTGTATTAGCGCTTAACTGAGAAGATACTAACTTTATTATTAAGTTATAAATTTCCATTGATTTTATTATTTTGTTGCGTATAACGATATCCTTCTTGGAAATGGCCATTTCTATCAAATTTTTATCCATGGCATTTTTCATTTGGTAACTAATAAGTGTGAAAAACTTCATAACATCTAATCGCTATTGGTACAGAATAAAAACTATACTCAGAGAGCAATTTTGTACAGATCACGTATATGCAAAGTAGCAAATAAAAAGATAGTTTGACAACAATAGAAAACTGATGCCATCAGAATATTTGTATTGTTCGTCAAAATGACAAGCAACTTATAATTTCGAGATTGTTTCAGAAACATCATTGAAATAGACGGTAAATAACACACAGTTTTGTTCATAGATATTAAATCCTCGAGAATGCAATGTAGAAGAAACAGTAAAAACGAAATGACAGATACAAATTATAAATGCAATACATCTTAAATATTATCGTTATACATTTCCTCACCGCCTTGTGCGACGATTAATTTCCTTCATATTTAAATAAATATTTGCATAACGATTTCCCATCGCCACGTGTGTTTTAAGTATTTCAAATTCTTTCTTGTATGTAATTCCAATCACGTTTGATATCCTTTAACCATTCCTCTATCTTAAAAAATCCAGGAAAGGTTACATAGCGACACGATATTATAATGATAAGATAAAATTGATTGAACTCTTGCAACTTACCTTTACAGATTTTACAAGAAATAAACCATATTTTATATTTACACTTGCTATTAAAACTGTAATGCTTGTTTGGAATGAAAATGAATGAGAGGTGCAAGCGTTATTTTCCACGAGAGAAAACTGCAACGATTGATAATATAAATGTAAATAAAAGATAAATTTTTTTCGCAAGTAATACATTAATATATCAGAAAATCGGTTAAATAATTATATTTCGTACGAATGGAATGTCCTTACCACGAAAAATGTTGAACCGAGTAGAAGTATCAAACATACGATCGTAGTATGTATTAAGCGTAACTGCGTTGGTTTGTACGATGTCAGTCCCATCACGAAGAAGCAGAATTTCAAGAATCTATAATACTCGTAGCCAATGAAGTCCATTCTCTGCGACGGACGGAAAACGTCTGGCCCGCGGTCGTGACTTTACACATTTCGCAGAAAATTAAAGGGAGAGGCTAAAATATTGACACCGTCGCGTGACACAACTTATCAATTACGCATGAGGGGGAAATGACTATCCATCGATGCGCGTGAATAGTGAATTTTTTTTCCAAGAAGAAACGTTACTTTTATTCGTTCTCTTCCAGTTTTCCTGCAATTTTCGCACAATTACGCTGAGTTTTAAGAAAAAATTGCCTCCATGATATAGGAGAAAGTATCAATCAAACCCAGGTATCTTCTCGCATTTCCAAGCTTTACGGCAACGATTAATTTTATTATGCTCATTATGGAATAAGAAAGTCTATACTATATTCTTCATATATGACCCGATACTAATTGTAAAAAATATACTCAACAATGACATGACTGGCTGATTTTGATGAAATAACAATATCGACTTGAAACTATGTTTCAATAATATATTGTGTTCGCTCGGTATTATTTTCATTCACATTTTTTCGCAATTGCATTATAGTTAACTGTTAGAAGCATTTGATATTAATAACTTTTTCGTCAAAGAATAATCATAGGTAGAATAAACGGATACTTTCCAAGTAAATAAATAGTGTGAAATCAATTTGCCCGACTGTGGTGCAGAAGCAAAATCTACATACTGTGGCTACCATTAATATTGAATTGTCATAATTTTTTAAAAATTATCGTATAATAATAAACTTATTTTAAAGCCTGAAGCCTACAGTCTTAAAATATGTGCATGATTCATTTTATTTTTAAAACATTTTTAGTTTATGCAAGTATACGAAGGAATATACTTTTTTCTCGAATGTGCTATAAATTATCATAGCACCTGATTTTTTTTTCATGATCTGACAAGGATCATGATCATGACCCTTTAAAGATTACGCTACGTTCTTTTTTTCAATTTATTTAACTTAGAATATTAGACGACAATGTTACGATTTTTTGAATTTTCGTAATCTAAGTCTGATATTTGGATTAGTAAAATAACTATGAAAGATCACACGTCAAGTTTTCTGGTATTATATTACAAGGAGGACGCGTCAGTCTTCAAATACATTATAGGTACAATCATGAATAAAATTTTTCGATGCTTTTGCATACTGTAGCATTTTCAAGAGGAAAAATGTCTTCATCTGTCCATCCGTTACGTGATTTAAATATATTTTACTCTAAAATGAAAGACACATTTTGAAAATAGACGCTTCAGGTTCTAAAACGAGCCCAGATTGTGTGAATGTTTTTTTATAAAATTATAAATTTCATGTAGTTGAATCTTCGACCATTAATCATTTTTATTGTTTTCTAGTACTTCTGAGTTTAAGTTTTTTGCATCTTTATTTTAATCTTCTCATTTCCTAGGATTATTAGAGAATTTGAAGTTTGCTCTGCTATTGAATAAGAATGGACACATCACAGATCCACGAAGTCTCGAGATTTCATGATATGTTAGTTTCCAAAACAGCCTTCGAGTAAGTTCAGCAATTATATCTTTAAATCAAACGAACCATTCAAAATTTCTTTACCCATCGACAAAATTCGGGAATAAATCTGTTCATGTACCAAATCTTCACCGGTTTCGATGATATTCATGTATGATAAAAAATTTTCTTGGGAGAAGGATGTTGTCCAAATTGTCGATTTCTACAACATAATTAAAACTTAACGAGATCGGTGAGAGATCGGTTAACCTATTAATTTACCAATTCCTCTAATCATTCACTTTCAAATGTTTCTGGACGTTTTTAGTTTTAATATTCAGTCAATATTTATGCTAGTATATTATATTATCATTAAGATATTAATGCTTTACAGGATTTTTATTGTATCAAATATTATTTACAATATTGATACAAATGTGATAGGTACTGTTCTGAGATTTTACAGCTGTGAAGGCAAAGAAATGATTGAGTAGTTCGAACGACATACACGAATACTCAATAGTTATTTCTCATGCATTCTGACATTTGGCGATGAATGAACTGAACATGGTAGGATGCTGGATTTAAATTTGGCCTAATTGGAAAACAAATGAGCATTCGTTCAAACGTGCCATTGGAAAAGTTAGAAGATAAAGTGTATAAGGTATGACTTTCCTAGAAGTTAGAAATATTTCCATTTGTTATAGCACATTTTTCAGTTGTGGACAAAGATATTTCGAACATCAGACATTTAGTTATCTACAGTTTGGCTATTTTATTTTATCTTTCTCAACATAAATTAGTGATTTTCTGTTCTGCAATATATTTGCACGAATTTCATTTAGAGATAGGTTTAGGTTATTCTTTCTCACAAGGAAATCTACACTATTTATTTGAATAACTAAATAAATATATTTTTATATTGTGCGTATTAAATATAACATGTAATGTACATAGATTAGCATCAGGGATTAGTATATAATTATTTTGGATTACAAATTAGTTATCATATTAATATTCGAAAACCTCAAGAGAAAAATATGACAAATCTATATTTATTTGTTTTCTGTGATTACTTTATTACTCTATTATTCTATATTAATTGATGTTAAGAAACGAATTAGCCAACATTAGTTCATAATGTACAAAGATATATTATCCTTAAAAAATGAATCCGAAAAGTTTTTAAATTGAACTAATGGAAATAAATAACTACTAAATAATTATTACTATTAATATTGTTAATATATTTAAATACATTAGACAACAAAAACACATTTTTAAGCTTCAAGAACAGTTCATGTAAGGTAGAAATAATTGGAAATATACTAAATGTTAGAATTTCTTTTTTGTATAGGATATCCAAAGTCAACAAAGTTCATTGGAAAATGATGCTACATGTAAAAACGAGTTGATAAGGAAGAATACAATTTGCTTATTAAAGCCATCGTTTTCGATGAAAATCGAGTTTGAAAACTTATCAAGCATACTGAAATTTAGCTAAATCCTAAATGTGATAGAAAAAAATAGATTTAACAGGAGACTGTTCTACGTATTAGAATAAATAAAAAATGTGAAACTTTTTCGTAATATGTTTTGTTTTAAAGGACATCGAATTTGAATATTTATCAAGCGCACGTATACTAAGCCAATTTTTAATGACAGATATTCAAGGTTTATTTTTTTTTTAAATAACGCTTTAGACGAAAATATTTCATTCTATTTTTTTCACTTATTTTTGCACATAGAATGTCCCCGGTTATTCGCACGATATCTTGTACGGAATTACACTTAAATTCAAAATAAATTGATAAGTTTTCAAATTTACTTTTCTTGGAAACGAAAGAATATTATGAAAATTTACTTATATTATTGTATTTACTTTATATATTGTTACTATATTATTGTATTTATTTTATTATTATATCATTTTACTTCACTCATTATATTACTTTAAAAATAAATTTTTATTTTTTCTTCTCGACACAATTTTACATGCAGAATTATCTCCAGTCACACTACGGGATTGCATATTCAAACGACAGATACTTCATCTCCATTCTCTTTATTCGATTTTGAAGACAATACCCTTAGCCAATAAATAAGCATGATGATATTTCTCACGTGAATGAATGAATTTTCAATGTAATGGTCCACTTTCAATTCAATACAAGTACATCCGATGTTAATATAAAATATCATTTTAGTAACAATACTAACATGTCAACCAGTCTGCTGTATTTTTATTCAATCTACAAGTAAACTGTAATCGTCGTCATTATTTCTCCACAGAACGTTCTGCGTAGAGTAAGGTAAAACCATGACAATTTGGTTTGCTAAAAAATAATTGTTTCTCAGTTCGTACAATTGGAATTTTCACGAAAGTGTTTCTTTTTCACGCACAATCTTTCGAAAGTATGTACCCACAGATAGACATTTAATACTCTTGACTGATGGCTTCCTCGCATAATGAAAAGTAGATATTACTGTAGTGATAATGGTAATTCGTGCAATTTTGCAATATATCTGAGAAAACTTAAGATTAAAAATTAAGATTAATACACAGAAATGGCATAGAAATTCCTATTTAATATGTAGCAACCTATAGTTCCTCGAGTACGCGTTTCGAACACCAACTTGTACAAGCCGCAAGTGGCTGTGCGCCTAGCGTCCAAGTCATTTGATGTTAAGCAGAGTGCGGAACACCGCTAGGATGGACCGTCTAGTCTAGCGAGTAGTTAGAACAAGCGTCTGGAGTAAGAGATGATGGGTCGCTGCCATCAGCCCCACTGATAAGTCTAGGCAGCGACTCTGAGACGAAACGCCACAACCTTTTTTCCTCATCTTATCCGCATTACCACTTCCTACATTATCCTCGCGTCATCATCAACATTTCAATCCCTTCAAATACAATTTCAATACGCATATTTTAGAACTTTTTATTGACAAATAATGTTTCTTTGTTTAGGAAACTTGTTTCTTAGTAATTTTTGTATGAGCTTGCGGATATAGAGAATGTCTTATTTTAATCCTTCTATGTAATAATCTCTCAAACCATTAGTTACCGTAAAAAATCTCTTGTATTTCGAAAAGGTATTTCTTTATGATGGTTACGTATTTTATCTACGCGGACATATTTTCGAGGCTTGGTTTTTTTTTTTTTAAATGGAACCACATATGCGATATTATTTGTTCATTCAAAAGATACGATACTAGTCGTATTTTTACAAACTTCGTACCATTTCATATTTCATTTCTCACACATAAAGAGTATTAATAAGAGACCAAACTTTGATAACGTATTTTATTCCTACTAAAGAAGAGAAAACGTCACATAAGACGAAACTATAAGTCTGGAAACTTTTCCTTTCCGAGATAGAAATATTTTTTGATCACGATGAACCCTATAGGAATATATAATTTATTTAAAAAAATTGTTAAAAATCCATTTTTATTTTTTACAATACATGCATCTTATCGACTATCGAAGATGTTCCAGAATTACTAGTGTAATCCAAATTTGGAATATGTAAGGCAATAATTCGATTTTTGACTATTTCCAGGCTATCAGCATTGTTATTGTCAAAAGCTGAAGTTTTAAACAATTCCTACAAATAAAAGTCCAAATTGCTCGAG